TAAAATCAGTTAATTATCATGCAAATTAGGTAATTAGTATGAACAAATTTTTACCCAAAACTAATCAAATCTGCGCATTAGTTCAGAGCATCCATGTGCTAAGTTTCATCAAAATTTGATCAGTAGTTCTTGAGATAACGGTGGAACGAAAAAAGTGACAAAGTGTAAATATGTGCGTCAAATGAGGTCAATTTCAGGGCATGGACCTAGAGCATGTGCAGAACCCAGAAAGTAGTTTGCGCATACGTATATTCCGCTTCATTATTACAACTGTCCGATTATCAATTTGTATTTAATGGTGAATGCAGTCTGACGCCATGATCAATATGGGGAAAAAACTAAAAGAATTAAGTTTTTTACCCGACATCAATCTTTTGACGTCGTCCCTAAGGGAAATCCTGGCAAACAACATAATGCTCTACAAATGTAGGAGAATGTAATTTACAGTGTTTTGTATATCACTTTTCATTCTCTAAATGTTTTTCCAGCAAAGAATTGTGGGTAAAGTGTGACACCACAGCCACAACAGTGGCTACAATGTCATATGTTACCCATAATCCTTTGCTGGAGAATCTATCTTCCCAGAATTGACTTTTTTAGGTTCTTGAGCCCTAATTTACTTCATGTCTGGCCACCATTTTTTTTTTTAGCAAGCTCTAAAATATGTGGAAATATGTCCATTTATCAAGTTTATACCTGGCAATTGCGAAAGAGTAAATAGTGAAACAGTTGTCCTGATCAGTTATGTTTAGTAACATGTTTTGATAATGAAAATAGTTATCTGTGTTGACAATACCTCGTCCATCTGTTCAGGTGTAGACAGTGAATATGCAGCTCTTATATACGATGATTTGCCATTAGGATCTGATAAGAAGTCTTTGCCAGGTACAAACAAGACCTCTTTAGCTATTGCCTTTTCCATTATCAGTTTGTATGTGTCTTTGATACAAAGTAACTTAATCCATAAAAACATCCCACCTGACGGCACGTTCCATTCAGCTAAACCTAAAATTAAAGTACTGTTATTTGATCACATGTAATACCATTTTGTCTTTTGGCTCCAAATTTAGAATTCACTTCCAGAAATATTGAAGAATATAAGAAAAGTGAGGAAGTCTGGTGGTGGAAAGGTTAAGCTATGAAAAACCTGAGCTGAGTGAGACTGTGTGTATGTGTATTTTCGAAATTACAACGAACCACATAATTGCGTGAAATTAGTTTGGAACGGTCGGTCTGTTTGATTGATTGTGCGTTTGTCCTGCCAGACACCTGGTGCCGTCGATTGCTTATTGGCCGGTATAACTGTAACAACAAACTGGCTATATTTTAAAAACAATCAGTGACGAAAAGGCGGAGGTTAACGAGACAAACCATTTTACTCAAAGTGGTAACTGTGATCTCATTTGTTCCGAATAAACCCGGAATGTGACAGGGATTGTTCGTATAAAAACAAGATTTGAATGGTAACGGTTCGACAATTGTTGTGAAAAGCATTTGTGTGTGTGTGTGTGAAATAGTCCAGGCAATTTTGTTTGAAACAAAACAAGCAGCCTGTCGGCTGAGATAGCTCTGCTGTTAGCAATGCACATGGCAATTAAAGAACAGAAGATATCATTAGAAAATGAACAAATCTGAGAGAGGTCCACATGTAGTACCTATATGTATAAAATATCAAAGCAATTGGACTTGCGGTTTTCAACAAGAAGTCGAAAATATCACTTTTTACCAAAAATTACAAAAATATTCATCAAAAATAGAGAATTAAAGATATCATGAAATGAACAAATCTGAGAGAGGTCCACATGTAGTACCTATATATGTAATATCAAAGCAATTGGACTTGCGGTTTTCAACAAGAAGTCAAAAATATCACTTTTTACCAAAAATGACAAAAATATTCACCAAAATTAGAGAATTAAAGATATCATTACAAAATGAACAAATCTGAGAGAGGTCCACATGTAGTACCTATATATGTAATATCAAAGCAATTGAACTTGCGGTTTTTAACAAGAAGTTGAAAATATCACTTTTTACTAAAAATGACAAAAATATTCACCAAAATTAGAGAATTGAAGATATCATCATGAAATGAACAAATCTGAGAGAGGTCTACCCAAGGCACATATACACCAAGTATCAAAGCATTCAGGCTTGTAGTTTTCAAGAAGAAGTCGAAAAAGTCAAACATTGACACGGACGACGACAGACAATCACTCATATGATAAGCTCCGCTCGACAAAGTCGACAGCGGAGCTAATAAAAAGGTGTTTAGAGCGAGCACCTTTGTCTTTAATCAGCTTCGAAAATTTTCCGTATTCTATATACTCTGCCGTTGAGCAAATTACACCAGCTGACACTAGATCATTCTTCAGTGCAACAGGATATCTGTTCGTTTAGCTCAAGTACTGTACAAAACGGTACTTTTTAGGGCCACCACATTCTCCAGAAAGATATACCGTGTTTTAACGAGTGAAACAGTTTGATCTAGCTGTGGGTCCATTGCTCTTTTTGTGTCTGCTATTAGTCTTTGAGGTGATTTTTTAGTTGGTGTCATCAAATTTGTTATTTTCAGACTAGGATTTTTATCGACACAGAAGAGCTATGCCCCCTATAAACTAGCCTAACACAAATGTGCGTCCCCAACACAACATTTACCGTCACCTATTTATATTATGTGCAGTGGATGGTTGGACGTTATGTTTCCTACAATGTATTTTTTTGTCATAAATGTCTACTCAACTAACCAAAACATAATCGTTTACAAAGCCTGTCGCCGACACTGGGACAGATTTTGATCTAACTAATTTCATGCAATTGTGATGTTTGTTGTATTATTCATAACCTCTAAAAAAATCAGTTGAAATTAAAGCAACTATCACAAACTAGCAGAATTGCCACACAGTTTACACATAGGTGTTTGTGTAGAATAGAACACCGATGTATACAAGGTGTGCGCATATAACTCGGATTGATACAACACTCAGGCATTAATCACTAGTGTCTTCTGATGTCAACCTCAAAGCAAATGTCATGCGATTATACATATTTGGTAAAAACACATTTTTTTTTTACAGATTAGAAGTGCGCACATAGAACTACCACTGTGAAATTCATAGCAAATTTGTTTTGATCTTGACAGTACAAAAAATTGTTATATTGCGGTGCCCCATAATGCACCAATCACTACACTGTCTACCTCATAATATACCAATCACTACACTGTCCACCTCATAATATACCAATCACTACACTGTCCACCTCATAATGCACCAATCACTACACTGTCCACCTCATAATATACCAATCACTACACTGTCTACCTCATAATATACCAATCACTACACTGTCCACCTCATAATATACCAATCACTACACTGTCTACCTCATAATATACCAATCACTACACTGTCTACCTCATAATATACCAATCACTACACTGTCTACCTCATAATATACCAATCACTACACTGTCCACCTCATAATGCACCAATCACTACACTGTCTACCTCATAATATACCAATCACTACACTGTTCA